CTCTTCCTCTCCCTGCCCTCCTCTCTTTCTGCTCCTGTTCCTGGAGGCTGGTCTCTCCCCTCCCCTTTGCTCTTTTTATGATCCCTCCCCCCCCCAAAAAAAACCAAAAACAAAACAAAACAAAAACAAAAAATCCCTCCATTTGAACTCTGTAGCATGACATCTTTCTTGTGCCGCTTTTTAAACAAATTACAATTCCTACAATCATCTGAGAGGAATACCTCAATTGAAGAATTGTTCAGATCAGATTGGCCAGTGGGTATGTATGGGGATTATCTTGTTAACTGATGGGCAATGACCAATTCACTGTGGGTAGCACCACGCCCTGGACAGGAAGTCCTGGGTTGTATCTGAAAGCTAACTAAGCAGGGGCGGAAGTGAGTGAGCCATCAAACAACACTCCTTTCTTGGCTGTAAGTTCCCTAGTTAGAGGTAAAGCTTGTTATCAATAGCAAGGAGGCCTGTCTCCTGCTTCCTACCCAGACTTCCTAGTTTCCCTCAGTGTTGGACTATGACTTGAAAGTGTAAGCCAAACAACCCCCCTTCCTCCCCACATCATTTTAGATCAGTGTTAGGAACATTAATGAGACCATTTTGTGTTACTTGGAAATCATTTTATGTCATTTGGAATAACGCAGTGCCTGTAAGATAAGAGCCCCCTAAAAGGTGGCTCAGATGCAGGAGAGGCCAAGATGACAGGCCTCGATATGCTAATGAACTAACGCAAGGCGGCTTGGATAGGTTAGTGAACCAGCACTATGCTGTAAGCCCTGGCAGCACAATGAAGAGCTAGGTGGCCACTAGGATTGCAGTGCCGTTCTGCTGTCAACTGTACTGATCCCCTTGGCAAGCAGACTTTGAGACTGGCCTCTGTATGTGGCCCTGGCTTTGGAGACCTTCTAATCTTGGACACTGTTACTGAGCTCATAAATGCCCACCTGACAATGACAACCACTGGCTAATGTGTTCAAGAACCCTCTGGACCTCCACCAGTGGCATCCTCCCTGATGTGTGTCCAGCCTGCAAAACTCCTGAAGTGTTCTAACCAGAGAAGGTTTCCCAGTGGAACCCCATCAGCAGATTTCTGTCCAACAAACTGTCCCCTACTTGGTGAGATGCCTGTTTAACCTTGATATTAGCATGATAGAATAAGGTATGTTTGTCTGGATAAACCAAGAATATTTGAAAGACAGATCTCATGTGGACATCCTAATTGCTATGCACCTAACAGCCCACTGCAGTCAGAGCTTTATCACGAAAACAGGAATGGAAGGAGACCATTTGTCAGGGAGGCAAATTTAAAAGTGTTGCTAACAGACAGATGACAGGCAAACAGCAGAAGAGATGACACTTTAAGGACCCCTGAGCTACTGAACCATCTTGTCTGTAGACATTTGCACAAAACAATGTATTTCCTTTTGTTGTTTCAAATGTATTTTTGTCCCTTTCAATCAAGATTCGTTGGTTAGCAGCCTAGAACACTCCTGGTGTATTGCCTGCCCCATAACATAACTTTGCAAAGGATAAGTAGTTTTTACCTGCACAGATTTTTTTCCCCTTGATTGAACACAGTGCCTCGTGTGTGATCAGCCAATACTAGTACTGAACTAAGTTCTTAAAGTCCCTGCATATTTCTTTTATTTCTAAAGTCTTAAAACTTTAGGTCTAAAATTGGAGTGTAATTTTTGGTGTGGTGTGAAGCATCTGAAAATGGAAACAATTCCATTTTCAAGCACAGCAATGATACAAATGGGTATAAGCACGTACACACGTTGATTATCTTTGGCTTTCAGAGGGTGTCGGCACTGCAGGGTAGTTCTTAGGCTTAACTGTATGTTTTAAAATTTGTATAATAAATATGTCTCATACACTATGATTACCTTGTAGATTTATGCAACATCTTTGCAACAAGGTTTGTACTGATCATAATAACAGAACTCCAAGTACATTTCACATTGTTCCTATGTCTAGGTGTATCTGTTTCTATAAAATGTCTCTGTAATACTCAAAACATTATTGTCTAATCTAAGTTTCTACCCAGGTACTCAAGCTAAATCTCAATAATTACCTAGTGGTACAGTAATCCCAGTTACTCCAAAGGTTGGAGCAGGAAGGTAACTGGTTCCGGGCTGCTGGGGCAACAGAGTGAGTTCAAGGCCAGTATGGGCAACTTAGTAAGGCACAGTCTCAAATTCAAAGTAAACAGAGGGCTAGGGACATACCTTAGGGACAGAAGGCTTGCTTAGCATTGGCAAAGCCTTAGGTTAAATTTTTAGTTCTAATGACGAATAATTTATATTTCTTCCCTTAGGACATATTTCAGGGCAACCATGATCATGAATAGATTAAATACCAGTAAGACTTAACCTTATGTTAGTTTTACCTTATTTTATGATTATGGGCATATCATATGCTGACTGAATGAATTTATTATCATGCTGTAAAATCCCTTTCTAGAGTCTATGTGAGATGTGGTAGTTTTTATTATAATTATTATTATTATAAATAGTTTGTTTTCCTAGAGACGACAGTATATACTACTCAGCAAACTCTGACATTTGTGCTTACTGAATTCCATAATCAGAAAAATTACTTGGAAAGACAAGAAAGAAGGCTCAATTGTTCAAAGCATGTAGTACTCTTGCAGATAACCCATGGTGGCCCCCACCCAGCACCCATGCTGGACAGCTCACAACTTCCTGTACCTTCAGCTCCAAGGAGTCTAATCTCCATTGAGCATCTATATCCAAAGCAAAGATCCCCCACAACACATACATATAATGAAAAATAAACCCCTTACAAATGATATTGTTTTGTTATTTCATCTTTAATTTAAATATTCTTAAAGTGATAATACAAATCTGACATAGTTTATGCTTCATGATAATCTCTAATTATGTGATAGCAAAGATTGCAAGCTGAAAAGTAAATCAGTTCATTTCATTATATTTAATTATCCCTATTATAGATTGAATTAACACACACATACACACACACAAACCTATGCCATACATGAAATAGTTATGTGCCACTTGAAATTGTTTTATCAAAAATGTGTGTTCATCTTTTGCTCAGGGAAACCCCTAGATGAAAACCAGCTCTGCTGGGCTATGGAGTAATGAAGGGATAAAGGAATGGTGTGTAGAAGCTGGATGAGGAGAAGGAAGCAGATGGCTGCCTCAGTTACTTTTCTATTGCCACGATAAAACAGCACAGCCAAGACAACTTAGAAAGTGTTTTGGGAGGGAGGGAAGAAGGGAGGGAGGTAGGAAGGGAGGAAGGGAGCGAGAGGGAACTGGGATCGACATGTAAAACAATAAATTAAATAAGAAAATGCTTTGACTCCAAAATTTAAGTTCAAGGACAAGTTATTGGGGAAAAGGATTTCTATTTTTGTTTCCACAGAAAATGAAAAGCTGTGGATTCCTTCCAGACTAATGTGGTTTAATCAAGCCAGACCGCCTGAAATAGAGTACCAGGTGATCCCACATTCAAAACAGCTGGACAAAGCAGCCTTACAGACTACAGCCAGGATTTCTGCATCTTCTTAGAATCCCCCATGACAGGCCCCTTACCAGAGGAAGTAGTTTGGAAAGAATGATGCCCAAATTCCCAAAGATTGTCTATAAATGTTTGTTTTCATTTAAATGGACTTGGTTATATGAAATAAATAAAAAAAAAAGAAAAAAGATATACCAGAATCTGGACCCCTCAAAAAAAAAAAAAAAAAAAAAAAAAAAAAAAAAAAAAAGAAAAAAGAAAAAAGAAAGAAAAGAAAATGACCCCTGGACATGTAAAACAAGCTTGTTTCAAATTTAAATTTATATATATATATATATATATCAATCATAGAAGAAATAAAAAACAGAAAAAAGAAAAAAAAAGAAAGTGTTTTATGGGGCTTATGGTTCCAGTTAGAGTCTGTGATTGGAATGAAGCATGGCTGCAGGACAGCCGAGAGCTCATTATCTCCAACAGAAAACAGGAGGGGGAAAGCTTATTGGGCATGGCACATAGCTTTTGAAAGCTCGAAGCCAGCCCCCAGTGACATACCTCCTCAAACAGGGCCACACCTCCTAATTCTTCCCAAACAGTTCACCAACAGGGGCCCCAGTATCCAAACATGAGTCTATGGGGCCATTCTTAGTCAAACCATGACACCTTCTTTTGAACAAAATAAACTCTTACAGGTTTTTTTGAAAAATTAATTTTATGTGTATGAGTGTTTTGCCAGCATGTGTCTATGTGCACCACATGCATGCCTGGTGCGGTCAGAGGTCAGAAAAAGGCATCAGATCCTCTGGAACTACAATTACGGGTGTTTCTGAGCCACCATGTGGGTGCTGGGAACTGAGTGTGGGTCCTCTGCAAGAGCAACAAGTGCTCTTAACTGCTGAGCCATCTTTCTGGCTTTCAAAACAAACTCGAGTTCCACTTCAGGTGGCACTCATTGTGTCAGCTCTGCTTTCTTGTCTGGCTGTCATCCATGGCTGTGGTAAATTCAGTGATGGCCCATGGCGTTAGTCTCAGCTTTGTGGGCTAAAAGCCAAGGTAACCACTGAAGATGGTACTGGCTTTCTAAGAGGCAGGGAAACCAATGCAAAAAAAAGCCGATTTGGAATTGAATCTTTTATTCTCAGTTGAGATGGTGGGCACTGGATAGGTTTCCACAGAAATGCACTAACACTGGACACATACTTTGCGGCCTCACAACAGAGTTCTCTGTGATGGCTTCCTGCTGCTAGCCTGTCATTAAATATGGGTTCATGGAAAGACAAGACCTAAGATGCAGCCCTTTCTGCAAACGTTTGAACATTAGGTTTTCCTTACTGTAAGCATGTTCTCCAGGAAAGTCTAAAGATCCTCACTGAACTCCAAAGGCCTTTGCTAGTCACACTTCTGCAACAATTCGTAACAACTGACGTTCACAGCGACAGGGACCACAGAGAGAACTCAGGGGTGAAGACCTGTAGGTCTCCACACGGAAGGAACCTGTGCTCCAAGAGACGAGCCACTCCTACGTAAATGTCTGTGGACTTTACAAATAAAAGGATACATCACTCACTCTCCTTTCTTTCACCCAGTCCATATTTAGGGCTATCCTTCTACTAGGAAAACCTTCTAAAACAAAACTGCTTTCCCTGATCTCCAGATAGCATGGAGGGGAGCAGACATGGAACATGATAGGAATCTGTGATGCTCCAAACATATCACAGGATCGGATGATGCGAAAACCTTCACCAAACTTGGGACCATGACACCAGTCACATCGAGATGTGCTGAAAAGAAGAAATGTCAAGTGGGTATTTTGGGTTTCCACTAATGTAAAAATGAATCCGGATGAACTGACATCTGGATAAGGCACCTACTATTAAGTCAAAACTTAAATCCTAATACCATGGCACAACAGGTTAAATATGTGTGCAAAGAGCCTGCTTTCTAATGTAAAAGAATATGTGCACTGTGCATTATAGTTTAAAAGTCAAGCTGGGGATCCTCCTCTTCTTAAACGCAAGCCTTTCTGAACACTATGCAAGCACACTATTACTGAGCCATATTCAGTAGCAGAGCAACCACTCACTTATGGCCAAAAAGCAAAAGGAAGCGGGAGCCCCCAATTCCCTTAAAGGGTATGTCTCCCAGGACCTGTGAATCTTTTACTAGGCCCACTTCTTAAAGGCTGTTAATCTCTCAGTAGCAGCACCTTGGGGATAAGGACTTTGTCATATGGTTCTCTGAGGGACAATCATGATCAAACCTATGCTATGTATCTCTTTACTGAGTCAATATTAGACTTTTATATGCTCCTGGGAAACCATTTTACTTAGACAGACTATAAACATTTGTACAATTCATAGTCCCAGCAATAATGATGATCCCCTTTACTTACATAGTAAAAAAAAAAGAAGAAAAATAAAAGAAAAAAATATGCCTGATCTACTCCTGGTATTTCCCAGGGCGGAATGGAGCAAAGCATATCCCTTGGGACTAAACAATTTTGGAACGGAATCACTTCTTGTGTACTTAGTAATTAATAGAGGAAGTTTAACTAATGGGTGCATAGATACTATCCACTTCAGGAATAACTGAAGAACGTTATAAAATGGGACTGATGTAGAATACATTATATATACCTGCAAAGCAAGAATGGATAAAGGAAGAACTGTGTGTGTGTGTGTGTGTGTGTGTGTGTGTGTGTGTGTATTAGTGAAATACTTAGAAGTGTGCTTTAATAAAAAGTGTGTTTGAAATTACTCACCTTCTTAGAAACCTTTTAACTTTTTTGGGGATGAAATCATAAATTTTATGTAGATTATTTTTGACAATGAACAAAGAACAAATTTGAGTTAGTCGTTGGGGGTTGTTCCAGCAATACTCAATCCAAAAATGAGAATTAGTGAACGTATTTTCAAACTGGAGTTTGGTCATATTAAGCCTTAAAATCCCAGGTGGAAAAGAAGTCATGTAATTCCCGTCCACATTCAGTTTGTCAAGTGACCTGTACAGAAGAGAAGCCACATTTTACAAGCTAATCATGTGATTTGTGGTAGTCATGCACCTTTCTGCACCGGGTGCAGAAACCTGGCACTAAAACTGGTGGCAATAAAATGTCTATTTTAATATTTTCTTAGAATCAAGAGAATTTCCTTATGAAACACCTGAACCAATATATCATCATGCAAAGAAGGGCACTGTGTGAACAGGACAGCTGATGCACACACTTGGGGGTCTTTTCAGATGTCATCTCCGCGGGAAAGGAAATAACCACATATGCAGGAAGACTAAAAGTGTTATACTACAAAAGCACAGTGTGGTGACATACAGAAAAAATTATGTTTAAAGACAAACTAAACACAAATATATGTTTTCCATTCATGCCTAATAAAAACAGTGAAATACGTAACCTCAAAATACACTGTTATGTTATGCTCTGACTCCTCGGTAACTTGGTCCCTTGCTTGGCACTGTATCAATTGTCTCTACCAACCCTTGCCCTTCACTCAAAGGGAATGAACGTTGCCCCAGCGGTGTTCCCTGCAGCCATTTACCTCTTTTCTAATGAGTGCTGGAAGTGGACAGAAAGGTTTCTGTAAACAAAAAGACATACAAACACCAAATCATCGTCAAAATGCTCTACAGGCAAACAAGTTTTAGGTATTTGAGCAGGTGGGAGCTTCTGAACTCTCCCGGACAAACTAGTCTCACATACTCTTTGCTCCAAATTGGGTTATCTGATGGTAACTCTTGCTGACAAAGTAAAATATGATCAGAGTTTCAAACAACTGGGCAACTCTTCAAATTCAGCTTGACTACTGTTCTTCTTGTGACCAACTAAATGTGAGGCAAACCTCAAGCTCTTATTTTGTCCTGAAAGACAGATTTACACACTCCCTCTACCAGCAACTCAGACCTAGGGGCCAGGAGCAGAGAACTGCTATGATCTGAACATTTACATTCCTATACTTTTTGTTTATTAAAAAAATTTTCATACAATATATTTTGATCATATTCTTCCCCTACACCAACTCTTCCAAAATCCTCCCACCTCTCTACTCATCCATCTTTATTTCTCTTTCTCTTACACACACACACACACACACACACACACACACACACACTCACACACACCTGCAAAGACAAAAGTGCCAAAATAAAACAAAAAGCCCTCACCCACACAAACAAAACAGTAAACAAACAACAACAACAACAACAAAACATGGAGTTCATTTGGTGATGGCTAACTAACCGCAGGCATGGAGTCTGCCCTGGGGTGTGCTTACTGTATCCAGTGAGATTCCATTGGTAACAACTTGATTTTCCCTTTGCTAGCATGTATCAGTTGCAAACAGTTATTGTTTAGAAATGAGATCCCACATGCACATCCCCTTCTCTGTGTTGGGACCCTGTCTAGCTTGAACCGCACAGGTCTTATGCATACAGCACATTTCTATGAGTTCGTATGTGCCTCAGTCCTGCTTTGTCTGGAAGATAAAAGGTCCTCGGAGTCATCCAGCATCTCTGGGTCTTACAATCTTTCTACCTCCTCTTCTGCATAGAAGCCTGAGCTTTGAGGGACAGGGTTTCATGAAGACATCCAATTAAGGACTTTGTGCTCAAAGCCTCTCACCCTCTGCACTTTGTATAGTTTTGGATCTCTGTGTTAGATCCAATCTGCTGCAAGAAGTTTCCTATTCTAGAGGCTGCTGCTTTGTCAGAAGGTTGGTGTCCTTTCCCATGCAGAAGTAACTGGATTTCAAAAGGTTCCAATTTATTAACTTTTGGTGTCAGTGCCTGTGCCATCAGTGTGTTGTCCAGAAATCCCTTTCCAGTGCTAATGAGCTCAAGTCTGTTCCCCACTTTCTCCTCTGTCAGGTTCAGATTAGCTCCTAGTTAGAGTTTCTGTTGCTTTGATTCAACACTATGACTAAAAGACATTGTGGGGAAGAAAGAGTTTATTTGGCTTACACTTACACTTCCATTATTCCACTATTTACCATCGAAGAAAGTCAGGGCAAGTCCTGGAGGCAGGGGCTGATGCAGAGGCCAGGGAAGGGTACTGCTTCCTCGCTTGCTCCCCATGGCTTTCTCAACCTGCTTTCTTATAGAACCCAGGGCCACCAACCCAGGGATGACACTGCCCACAAAGGTCTGGGCCCTCCCTCCATCAATCAATAATTGAGAACATGCCTTAGAACTGAATCTTTTGAGGCACATTATCAATTGTGGTTCCTTTCTACCAGGCAATGCTAGCTTATGTCAAGTTGACACAAAACTATCCAATTCAAGTTGTGTGTTCCTATGTTGCGGTCTTTAATCCATTTGGAATTGAGTTTTGTACAAGAAGATAAATATGGATCTATTTTCATTCTCTTATATGCAGCCATCCAGTTTAACAAGCATCAATTGTTGGAGACGCTGTCTTCTCCAGTGTGTACTACAGCTTCTTCGTTCCCTTTGGTGGATTTTCCCTATAATGACTACGTAGTGTCCTTCTCTATGACTTTTGGTTAGTTTGTCAGTTGTCTACTTCGTCAGGTATTAAAACAGCTACACCTGCTTGCTTCTTTGCTCCATTTGCTTGAAAGAGCTGTTTCCATCCTTCTACCCTGATGCGATGTTTTTTCTTCAAGGTGAGGTGTGCTCTTTGGATGCATCAGAAAGACGGATCCTGTCTCCTATCCCAATCTATTAGAATAATGCCTGACTTTTCAGTGGAGACTCCGAAAACCATAAGGGTGTAATTCTAATGGGCCTGCCTTTATATGTGACTTCTTGTTCTGCTTTGTTTTTTTCCTTCCAGCTTATAGTGTCCTTTTTTGAGTTATTGTCCTGTTCTGTACACTTAATGATTTGATTATTATGTGTCATGGGGAATTTGTTTTCTGATCCTATCTATCTGGTGTTGTGTGCTTTTTGTACTTTGGTAGATATTTCTTCTTCCTCCTTTTCCTTCTTCTTTTTAGATTGTGGGAATTTTCTTCTATGATTTGTTTAAAAATATTTTCCATGCCTCTGACCTGGGTTTCTTCTTCCTCTATACCAATTACTCATAGATTTGGTCTTTTCATAGTCTCCAAGATTTCCAGGGTATTTTATGCCTGGATTTTTTTAAACTTTAATTTTTAAACTTTAAATTTTCTTTGACTGAGCTATTCATTTCTTCTACCTCGTCTTCAACATGTGAAAATTGTCTCTTTAACATCTTGTAATCTGTGGATGTTGGTGAAGCTTACCGCTAAGGTTTTTGTTTGACATCTAAGTTTTTCATTTCTAGTTTTATTTCAATTTGGATTTTCTTTAGTGATCCTATTTCTTTGTCAAATTCTACCTTAATGTCTTGAATTGTTTTTATTATTTCATTCAATGTATTCATTCAATGTATTTCATTCGATGTATTTCATACAATGTATTGTATTCAATGTATTTCACAGTCGTTATGAAGGTACTTTCATGTTCTTTAAGGTCCTTGAACATAATCATAATTGCTACTTTATAGGGCTTCATCTAAATTGCTTTTCTTAGGGAATACTGCAATAGGGTTGCTGGCTTTGGAGGAGGCACATTTTCTCTGATGTTCATGCTTGTGTTTTTGCACTGGGAATCTAGGCATCTGGAGTTATATGAGAGTTGAGGTGTTTCTTGATGTGGATATCTGGTCATGTTTTGTTGGGTAGGTATTGTGCTGTTTGGTTCCTGTTGCCCTCTCTGGGTCCTCAGCAAGTGTAGTGGCTGTGGGGTCTTTGGTAGAGCCTGTCTTTGTGGATCAATGCATGGCACAAAGGAATGGAGATGGGCTGGGAGAAAAGGTTCAGAGGGGTAGCAGGACAGAGCTAGAGATACCCCAGCTCTGCACCGAGATATGGAGTCCCCCACGGAATGGGGGTAGTGAAGGAGGGGTTCCTGCATGCAGGCTGAAGCAGGACTAAGAATAAGTCTGAAGAGACCATAATGAAAGAGCCAGTTAGAAGCCTGTGTCTGTGCCAGGAAATGGAGGTGGGCTGGGAGGGCAGCTCCTGGCATCACTAAGAATGCCTCTACAGTCTTATAATGAAAGACTTACTCCCAAGACATCTAGAGGCAGAGCCTTCAGGAAGTGACTAGGTTCTGATGGAGAGCATTCACAAATGGGATAACCACCCTTATAAATAAACAAAGCTGTGGAAAGACCTCTTCTGCCCTTCCAGCCTGTGAGGTGCAAATGAGACAGATGGACGTGTACTCTGCCTGCCCTTAGGGCAATGGGCAAGTGTTAAGCATGGTGAAGACACTTAAAGTCAGTACTGATGTTGATGATGTCATTTTAGGTGTGTACTGTGAGCACTTCTTATCTTTGTGCTCCTTTAAGGAAAGATTTGGAGAACAGGGAAGTTTGACTGCTTAGCAACTGCTGAATTCTCACTGTCCTGGCTGCCTGGATCAAAAAAACCAGAATCAAACAGATAACCCATGGGCTGTGCCCCTGTGCCAGGGCCAGCAGCTGGGCATTCCACACACTCCGAGAAACTACACAGTGATCTCAGGTGATGGCTGTAGTTTAGGTGCAGATTCAGCCAGGACAGGATAATTTGCTCTCTCAAGCCTTGGTGATTTCTATGTCAGACAAGGAGCATTTCCAACAGGGGTGCAGAAAAGCAACTGCTGTTTTTGGTGCTAAGAGGCAAAGGTGTGATTGTCCCAAATGTCCCTTCTTGGGCTGCATAAGCAGGGCGATTGAGCTCGCTCAGTGAGTCTGCTTCAAAGAAACCCTCCTGGGTTTCCTTCCATGAAAGTAATGTGGTTTGAAACAAAATGGCCCCCAAAGGAAATGGCACTGTTAGGAGGTGTGGCCTTGTTGGAGTAGGCGTGGCCTTGATGGAGGAAGTGTGTAACTGTGGAGGTGGGTTTTGTGGTCTCATATATGCCCAAGCCATACCTAGTTAAAAAAAAAAAAAGATCACTTCCTGTTGCCTGTGAGTCAAGATGTAAGAACTCTCAGATCCCTCTCCAGCACCACATCTTCCTGCGTGCTGCCATGCTTCTCACCATGAGGATAATGGTCTAAACCTCTGAAACAGTTAGCAGCACTAATTAAATGTTTTACTTTATAAGAGTTGCTGTTGGGCTGGAGAGATAGCTCAGAGGTTAAGAGCACTGGTTGTTCTTCTAGGGGTCCTGAGTTCAATTCCCAGCAACCACATCACATGGTGGCTCACAACCATCTGTAATGAGATCTGGTGCCCTCTTCTGGCTTGTAAGCATGCATGCAAGCAGAACACTGTATATAGTCGATAAATATCTTAAAAGTAAAAATAAAAAAGAGTTGCTGTTGCTATGGTGTCTCTTCACGCAATAGAGATCATGACTAAGATAATTAAAAAAAATGAACTATATGTATCATAAAATAGAGATCATGACTAAGACAATTAAAAAAAATGAACTATATGTATCATAACAACAATGAACAGGCTGATTTCTCCTAGAAAACTATAAAGGTTACTACACAAGACCTAAAAAATTTGGTAGAAACTTTAGAAAACCCAAGGAAGACATTTTCTTATTTTGCTAAAGATATCATTGTGTTCCAAGGAAACCAACTAGGCAGTGAGAACTAATATGGAATTTGGCTAGGCAGTGAGAACTAATATGGAATTTGGTGATATAGCTTGATTTTTTTTTATTTAGTCTAAAACAGCACATCTTTTTTTATTCTTTATTGACCTTAACCAGCTAATATTGGCAATAAGAGAAATATTATGTGTAAAAACACAATTTGTAATACTTGGAGACAATTATTATGAAAGTTATGAAGTGAGTTACAAATTCTCAGGAAAGACATAAAGTAAGATTCCAGAGGCGGAAGAGGCCACTCAGTGGCTAAGAGCACCAGCTGCTCTGGTTAAGGATCGAGTTCCATTCCCAGCACCTGCTACAGCTGGCTGCTACAGCTCCGGGGAATTCACAGTGTTTGGTGTCCTCAGGCACCTGTCCTCATGTGCACACAATCTCACTCACACAGATAGTATGAGTTTTTTAAAATATTTTAAATATTTGAAAGATTAAGAATACATAATGGTTTAGATTTTAGTTTTATCATTTATATTTGCGTGCGCGCACATGCCGCGCGCGCGTGTGTGTGTGTGTGTGTGTGTGTGTGTGTGTGTGTGTGTGTGATGAGTGTGCAGTGCTCTAGGAGGCTAGAGAGGGCATCCAATTCTGGAGCTGCAGTTTCAGGGGTTACCAGTGTCGGTGTTTGGAACTGAACTTGGGAGGACAGCAAATGCTACTAACTACTGTGCCGTCTCTCTAGCCCCTATAGTGTGTTTTAAAACAGAAAGTAAACACTGTCAACAAAAATTCTGTATAACTCAAGACAACTGCAATGAATGTGTCAAGTTTGTGCTTGTGTGTGCTGAAGGAGAAACAGGCAATTACATAAAATAATCTTAAAGATTATGACAATCCTGGCAAATTAGTCAAGAGATAACTACTAAAACAATCTTCCCTATCAGTCATTATTGTAAATTCATAATAAAAACAAGACACAGAGCCAGGCATGGTGGCACATTGCTTTAGAACCAGGACTTGGGATACAGAGGCAGGCAGATCTTTGTGAGTTGGAGGCTTGCCTGGTCTACAAAGTAAGTTCCAGATCAGGCAGGGCTGCATAGTGAGGCCTTGTCTCAAAAAAAAAAAAAAAAAAAAAAAAAAAAAAAAAAAATAGAACATGAATAAATTCAGGACTTGTATTAATTTATAAAAGAATTTGACTATATATATATGTATATATAACATATGTATGTGTAATTTATACATTATATATATGTATTTAATATATATTCAACATATATATTTAAATGTATAAGAGCTATATATATCTACACCAAAAAGGTGATAAAAATAGCTTGTTATTCTATTAAAAGGTCACCATTTGACTTTAAAAAAAATCATTGGAAATATGTCTTGCAGACACTACACACTAGATATTTCAATGACCTTTAAAAAATAAAGTCCATGATTCATATATCATATTCTGTGAGTGAAACAAAGGAAAAGACTAAGTTCTTCAACACTATCATTACCAAAACATCCTCAGTGGGACAGATCAGTTTCTGGGTATCTACCACTTTGCAAATACCTGAGTTTCTGGATTTCATTTGGAATATTATGAATTTCATTGTAGGAAACATCAAGTTCCTCAAGATAATGCAGGAGAAATAACCTTAAACAGAAAGAATAGTAAGTTATAAACATGGCTACTCCTTGTCACTGGGAATTATAACATCTAGACTTTAAGCTTTTTCCTAAGACACTGAGAGTTGCTTCGACGTCTTTTCATTATGGGTAGTATACATTCCTGGGACCTCTAAAAGTGACTCTTCTGTCCGTGAAGATTGCTTGGAGATAACTGGAGTGGGGAAAAAAACAAAGCCTCACTTAACAAAAGACAGCTAACAACCTTTTATCATCTGAAGGGTTTTCTTGGTTTCTATGTTAGTTTCCTGACCGCATTCTGGGTAGCCGGAAACAGTAGCACCACAGCTCCCATGGTTCAGGAGCTACAACTCCAGTATCCAGCTGTGGGAGGAGCCAGGTCCTTGTGGAGGCTTCACCTCTCCAAGCTCCCAAGGTTGCCTGCAGGCCTTGCTTTCCCTGGCTCGTAGCAGCATTTGCCTCTGACTTCCCAGGTTCTTATTCCAAGGATACCAGTCACCACATCTAGGGTCCACCCTCATTCAGAATGACCCCATTTAATTTGAAAAGCATTCATTTACATATTATAATTACAATCATAAGGTCACATTCTGAGATTGTATGTGGACCTGGACTTCTGAGGGATGTTGTTCAACCCAACTGTATTGAGGCTTTCCTAGTGAAAACCCCTTGATTTTTGTTTTCCCCATCAAGTGCCCACAGTTAGAATTAAGGATATAATGCCTCTATAACACATAACTACAGCACCATGAGTGTGTGTCCTGGGGAACACAAATAGAAATGGCTTCTTGAAGAATGGAATTGAACATCTAAGTATGATACTAATCTCAATCCCTGGTAACCCGTTCTGTGTGTACTGTTCTCAAAAGTCACCTCTTCCTACACAAACGACCTGAAATATTGCTTGCATGGTTTTTAGCTAAGGCATCCTGAGCACAGGATTTTACTAACTTCCCACTGTTTCAGCATGGCAGACGGAGATCTTCATGATCCCACCCTTGATTACTTTTGCTGCTAACCTGCCACTCCCCATCCCACGCTTCCCTGTGACCCACCACTTACTAGTTACAAGTATATGAATGAACAGTTCCTACGTATCTCCAAACACTATGCAGCATCTGCCCAAACTTGACTCTGGTCATTGTCTTCTCGTGTTTGAAATCTTAACCCAGATGTTGCCTCTTGCCCAGTTCTCTCTCCAAATCTTTTCAACGGGAAGAGCCAATACTTGTATGTGTCAGTTACCTCTCTTGGCCCATGTCCCATTGTACAACTATTTCTATCTATCTGACACCTCACCAAATAAATCATAAATGAATGAACACCAGTTAATTTAAACTCCTCTTCTCTGAGAAACTGGCGGTATTGATTAGGGGGGATGTAAGGTAACCCTTTGCAATTCAGGAGTCATCCCCAATTTCTTCTCCATCTCTGTAAAGAAAATGTTGGCACTACCTACTCTTTGTTTTCAACTCAAAATCATAGTTTTGATTTTTTGCCTCAGGGATTTCCTCTCTGCCTCATCACATCACAGAGACCTTCCCCGTCAAACTTCCTTCCCTTCCCTTATCCCATCATCCTAGCCTCCAACTCCAGGAGGCACTTCCTGGGAATCTGTAGGCTAGGCTGGTCAGGAAAGCAGGTAGGCTGACAGCAGACCTTCACTCTCCCTCTACTCCTCCAGTCTCGTTCCCAGCTCTGTAGAAGACCATCCATTGTGGCCTTTCCCCACTCTCTGCCTCCATTACCAGGGAACCAAGCAGATCCTGGAGGATCACCCTGCTTTCCTCCCTCCTGTGACCCTTCCCAGCCCATCCCCATTCCTAAGTGTCTGCTCCCACTGGCTAGAAACAGATTATACCTGGAAACCCCAGTGGCCATATTTATCAGGATTCCAGCAGAATTTACTACCGGGCTGCACACAGCCACCACACTCTCCTAAGAACCAGAGAAGGGCAACAGAAATCAAGGGGGGGAACCCCACAAAACCAGTTATCAGCACCTAGAATTACAATCTTCCCAAACCCAGAAGTCTAGATGCCAGAGTTAAAAACACAATCAGTAACAGCCAGAATAGTCTGTCTCCACCAAGCTCAGCAACCTTCTTCAGCAGGCCCTGTGTATTGCAACATAGCTGAAGCACAAGAAAAAGACCTTAAAACAACCTCTCCGATATGAGAGAGGTCTTTAAAGGATAACAAATAAAATCTCTTAAAGAAATCTATGAAAACACAGTGAAAGGAAATGAGTAAAATAGGTCAAAATCTTAACATGAAAATAGAACCATAAAGAAAACCTAAACAGAGAGAAATGTGGAAATGAAAAACTTAGGAACTCGAACAGGATCCTCAGAGGCAAGCAACACCAACAGAATACAAGAAATGGAAGAGAGATTCTCAGGCATTACAGACACAATAGGAGGAATAAATACACGGGTCAAAAAAATATGTTAAACCTAAAGAAGCTCCTGGCACAAAGCATCCAGGAAATTTGGGACATTATGAGAAGACCAAATCTATGAATAACAGGACTAGAGGAAGGAGAAGAAATCCATGTCAAAGGTCCAGAAAATATTTTCAACAACATCATAGAAGAAAAATGTCCTAACCTAAAGAAGGAGATGCCTATCAAAGTACAAGGAGTATACAGGATATTAAATATACTGGATGAGAAAAAACACATAATAACACATAATAATCAAAACACTTGAATTTATGGAACAAAGAGAGAATATTAAAAGCTGCAAAGTAAAAGGACCAAGTAATATGTAAAGGCAGACCTACTAGAATAACACCTGACTTCTCCATGAAGACTCTAAAAGCCAGAAGGGCCTGGATAGATGTGCTACAGGCTCAAGAGACCACAGACCCCAATCTTGACTATTATACCCAGCAAAACTGTCAATCACAATAGACAGGGAAAATAAGACACTCCATGATAAAACCAAGTTTAAGCAATAGCTGTCTACAAATCCCGTCCTACAGAAGGCTAGAAGAAAAATCCCAACCTAAAGAGTTAACCACACTTGACAATCAATAGTCACTGCTCTCAACATCGGTGGCCTCAATTCCCCAGTGATGTCTGCCTGCAAGATACACTAGTGTAACAGAAGCACCAAGCTCGTAGGGGGAGCCAACCAATACCAGATCTAGCTTAAAGTCCACTCCAGGAAATACTCCAGGAGATGCAACCTACATCCAACACCACTTGGGTAGCCAAGAACCTGAGACTAGATGGCCCAGGGCCCTGGAATGAAGACAAATACTACTGTTCTACTAAAAACAAAGACTGCTAAATGGTATTCTGCTATACTCATACACCAGTTTCTTGTTCGGCCACTGTCAGAGAAGCTTCCTCCAACAGCAGATAGGAATAAATAGAGAGACCCATGGCAAGACTATATGCAGAGAGTGAGAGACCTTGGAACACTCAGCCCTACATAGGATGTTTCTATGACATCACTCCCCCCAGGGCTCAGGGAACCCAGCAGAAAAGGAGGGGAGAATGCAAAAGGCACAAGGAACGGAGGGCATCTGTGAAGCAAGGCTTTCTAAATCAGCAGGAGCCAAACTCACAGAGACGGGAGCAGCATGCACAGATAGGGCCTGCATGGGCCTGTACCGTGTTTTCTGTGTATATTATGGCTTGCAATTTAATGCCTTAATAAAATTCACAAGTGAGTGAGTCTCACAGTTTCTTGTGCCTTCTCTTGGGCTCTTTTCCTTCCCTTTGTTTTGTCCAATACCAATGTGTTCATTTTTGTTTTATTTCATTTTATTATTATCCTTTAGAACCCTGTTTTCTAATGGCAGACAGAAAGGGAGTGGACCCAGATGGAAGGGGAAAGAAGGGGAAGAGGAACTGAGAGGAGTAGAAGGAGGGGAAACCACAATTAGGATATATTACGTGAGAAAAAAAAATCTATTTTCAATAAAATGGGGGGAAACTTCCAATGATCTGGATATTTTATTTCATTGTAGAAATGTAGGTTCAGGAAAAAAGGAAAGACTTTAGAAATAATTGGAAGACTTTACAAAACAATTTACAAGATATTTTCCCTTGATCTTTGTAGTGTTCTTGAAATCAAGTGCACTTTGTCTAGCCTTTCCAACAGAAAATGACGTCAAGGCTGTGAGTGGCTTGCCAAAGCGTTCAGCATCTATGATACTGGCCTTCGGGAGCACTGTGCGTTCTCATCTGTTGCATGGGTCTCATGCAACTAAAAGGATCTAGCTAGGGATGACAAGATACAGTGAAAAAAAAAAAAAACCCATCACACTTTTGGAAAATCTTAGTCACCCACGTAACCCAGCTGCGGAAAAACAGCGTTAGCACACAAAAATCGTAACTAAAAATGTAAGCATATAATAACAGAAAAAGACAATCTCCTTCATTTTTTGAGACAGGGTCTCATGTAGCCCAGGCTGGCCATAATCGTGCTTTGTGGCTTTTGCTCTGGCCATCTGGCTTTCACCTGACTGGACTTCTCTGCCACATTTGGCTCTTGCCATCGCCCTGTGCATCTGGCTGCCTCTGCACAGACCGAGTGTTCCCTTCACCCTGGTCTCCGCCATGCCCTCTCATCTATCAGCCCACGGCATGTTGCTGTTTCTCCCACATTTATCCAAAATATCTAGGGATCTGACATGGTCAACCAAAATTTCCATTATATACTGTGGTTCTTACTTGCTGCAATGCATTTCATTTCAGAGGCACTTTGGGATTCAAAAGTCTCTATGAGCATTTCACATTAATAAGCTGTTCATGGTAAACAAAATATTACACGCTAGTTAGACTTTCCACATCTGTACAGTATATTATATGTATTCTATGATATTGAGATTACACAACGTTTAGCGTGTCAAGCATGTGTTTAATGTGTATTTTTAATTACATTGACGCCAATTAAAATATGTGGAGACAAGAGTGTCACACTTGGATTCGTAAAAGTATTTATAACTGTACTGTGTCCTTAAGGTATTTGTATAACGCCAAACCGGAGCTGGAGAAAATGAGTTTAATAAATATAAGAAAGCTTCCCTGTATAGCATTAAAAAAAAAGAAAAAAGAAAAAAGAGTGCTCAGCCTTCCTTGTTTGTCAGTATATCCTGAAGAGTCAGAATTCTGTCCCCAGAGCAATACTCTCCTGTGAGTGTAGACTGTCTGAGCCCAGCTTGATGGAGGAAAACGCTACCCAAGATGACCTCAGTGCTGCACACTCGGGAGGCTGGGCTGGGAGCATCACCACATCTGGGCTAGCCTGGGTTATTTAACAAGACCACATCTCAGAGAAGAAATCCAAGTCATAATAACAGCCATGACACAAACTCCAACGAACCAACATGTCCACTTGAAGCCGAACTTACTGCTTTCCTTCCTTCAAGTCTCCTCACTTTAATTATGTCACTTCCCTGCTTACAGCCGGGCAAGGCACTTAACGTGTAAAATAAAATAGGAGGTTGTCCAATGACCACCAAAGCGTCGCAGTACATACAGTCTGTGAAACTTGGATCTCAGCTGGAGCTACCCTTGCTTTTTACCTGGAATGCTGGCTCTCCAGCAGCCATTGAAGAGTTCAGGCCCTCACCTGCTTGTAAGTGAAGTGTTTTCCATATCCAAAATCACTGTCAGTGAGTAGGCACCTGAGCCTTTAGGTGTGTATTCGTCAGCGCTATACTAACTGCCCTGTGTAGCCAGGAAGCTTGTTTTAAATACCATATTAAGAAGTGTGTCTGCCAATTGTAACAGCGTAAGGATTTGTAAGTAATCAAAATGCTTCTAGCCACTTTCCAAAGGGAAACTGATGCTTTACTAAGTACTTTAAATGCAATAAAGACAAATCATTCCCTTCTGTGTCCACCTCAGATTCTCAACCTTACCCAGGAGGAAGATCTCTGATGAGATTAAAGGCAATGCAGAAACTCCTGAGATACTTCAATTTTTTAATTTCATTAGGAATTTCTCTGATAGGGTTATTTCTCAGTTTCAGTACTTGTAGATTTTGAAGACAAAGTATCTGAGGAATAGGAAAAACAGAAACAGAAACAAATGTTAACTGAATGAAAAGTATACAAACCCTCATGTGTGTGTCTTATAAACATTTTAAACCAATACGGTAAAATCAGTATAGAAAAACATATTGTGTGTCTCATTAAATACTTTTTAGAGAAAAGAGGAGGGGCTGGGGGACACAGGGTAATGACTAAGGGATGAATCCGGACATCAAAGTCATGAAGGAGGCTGTAAAGCTCTGTTTCCCTAATTTCAACGGGCCCACTTTCCCCATTTAAATAATGCTTTTATTAATTCTTGGAGAATTTCATACAATGAATTTTGATCATGTTCACACCTCCTCTCCAGCTCCTCCAAGATCCACTCCACCCCCCTACCCATGCAATTTCATATTCGTGTGTTGACTCCACCCCAACCAGTGAGCCCAGTTTGTGTGAGACAACTATTCTTGGGTATAAAGACGCCGTGGAGAGCGGTTGACCTACCAGGGGTCACACCATTCGTGAGAATTGCCTTTCCCTCAGCCAGCAATTATCAAATGATGATTGCCTCAGCTCAGGGTGGGACTTGGTGCCCACCACGCTCTCCATACTGTAATTTAGTTTGGCTCGAGTTTGAACAGATCTTATGCATGCTATTGTAACATCTCAGCACCGAGATGGGAAAGTGAACACAGGTCTCCACCCTTAACCAAGAAGCTATCTGCAACTGACACCTGCTGACAAAGGAAAAAGTAGTTTTCTCCCAGGGAATTTCCCTGGGTATATTAACCACACTTAGGCATACCTCATGCCTAGGAGTATTTGATCAACACAAAACAAACTCACATTTTTCTTTGGCCATTTTTTGTCTTATTGGTCCTTTGCCTGTATGTTTGGGTTCCAGTGTGTGTGTGTTGTGTGTGTGTGTGTGTATGTGTGTGTGTACGTGTGTGCTCACACGCACACATTGAGGGGGAAATCATGATCAAAATATGTATTCTGTGAAAAATATTTTTCAATAAGAAAAGTGAGTTGCTTAATTTCTACAAATCAGTGAAATGTCAATTTCAATTCTTTATTTCCAATGTCATTAGGTTATAGCCAAAATAGCCTTTTATGGTTTTTCAACATTTTAGTTTTTTTTTTTCTGAGACTAAATTTCATTATGTATTTCCAGTCTGCTCTCAGAGTAATAATTTTCCTGCCTCAGCCTACCCTGCACTGAAGACTACAGGTACAGGTCACCATGCTTGGCTTCCATCTTTTCAATTTATTATTGAAACTGACTTGTTTAGGGGCCTGGCAGATGGTCTGTTTTGAAAGGTGTCTCTGTTAAAATTGGGAACTCGGGATTCTGCTACCATCAGTTGCCTTGTTTCAGGGGTTTACCTGGTGCTGTCCAGTCTCTGTTCTGCTCTTTATCTTCTGCCTAGTTGTTCTGGGCATTATTGAAAGTGGGCTATGAGACTGTTACATATGTTTATAATGATATATCATCCTACTAGACTTTTCTCCCTCTTTGTCTCTACTAATATCTCGCTTGAAGTCTATTTATCTGTGTTACAGCAGTCACTCTAGTTTTCTCCTGTAAATTTTCCCAGTACTATTTGTGGGCGTATTTTTTCTTGTGCTTTTACTTTCTGTCCATAGCTTTCCATTCATAAGTTTGTTTTTTTTTTTTGTGTTGTTGTTTTGTTTTGTTTTGGAATAGCATGTTTCCTTATGATATTTTAATACATGTACATAATATACTTCAATTATGGTCACACACCCGTGTTGCCATCCTCTCTTCCCTCTCACTGGCCACTTTCTTCTTAAACAGGCCCCTCTCCTGGATTCTTCATGTCTGTTTTAAAGATCCCTATATCTCATCTACAGCTAGACAGCATAGATGTGCACTTTAACATCATGTTCCTACATCACAATCACACTTTTGCATGTTAACATCACATCCTTATGTGACAGTCATATCCTTGCATTTGTGCATTCTCTTTTCCAGTGGATAGACAGGCTTTGTTGTTGTTTTGTTTTGGCAAACACTCCTTACCTGTATCTGCTCAGGAGAAAGATAAATGTAAAGAACCAAGATCCTTGATTTCCTAGAAATCCTTGTTAACACAGCTTTACTGAGTTAATAAACCCAGTGTCATGCATTAGAGGTAAAGTAGGACAAGTTGCAGCACCTTGTCCTGCACACTTGCACACGACTTCATAGCTCTTATCAGCACAGATTATGCCACGCACAGGAGTACACATGTATGTGTGCATGCTCTCACTCCACAAGACAATAAGGGCTATGAAATAGGCATGGTGCTGACTGTGGGAAATCATGGTGGCGCATGCCTTTAATCCAAGCACTCAGGAGGCAGAGGCAGGCAGATCTCTGTGAGTTCGAGACCAGCCTGGTCTACAAAAGCTAGTTCCAGTACAGCCTCCCAAGCCACAGAGAAACCCTGTCTTGAAAAACAAAACAAAACAAAACAAAACAAAAAACAAAAAACAGGGCTGGAGAGATTGCTCAGAGGTTAAGAGCACTGGCTGTTCTTCCAAAGGTCCTGAGTTCAATTTCTAGCAACCACATGGTGGCTCACAACTATCTGTGATGAGAACAGGTGACCTCTTCCGGTCAGAATGCTGCATGCATAATTAGTAAATAAATCTTTTAAAAAAACAATAAAAAGCAAACAAAAAACTATTTGAAACAGAGAAGTCAATTTGCAATTTGCTAAAAATACGTTCGCTAAAAGCAATACATTGAAAGTTGTTTCATAAAACAACCTGTTACCCCGTGATCAGTAAAATGCTGAATAAGACAATATAAACAAAACCTGTCCCAATTATTCATCATGCCTCATTTATATTAAAAAGGATATCAAATTAAGTCACCCAATGCCTGGTTATCCTACTTTAGTTGCTAGCAATTAAAACATGTCACAATGTTATATGGTCACTAACATTTTAAAAATATTGTTATTAATTCTTTGAGAAATGTACTTCAACCACATTCACTCCCACTCCTCCTCCTAACTCCAGATCCACCCCCCAACACTATGTCCTTTTGTTTTAAGCAGCCTATTATTGAGTCTAATTTGCATTGCCCATATGGTCATGGTTGTGAGGCTATCCACTGGAATGGGTTAACCTACCAGGGCCATACACTTAGGAAGACATATTTATCCCTCCCACAGCAGTCATCAACTGTCAGATAGGAGTGGGGACTTATAAGCCCCTCCCCCACCTACACTGGAATGCAGACCATCTTGATCTTGTACATTCTTGGGCAGGCAGCTATACTGCAATAGGTCACGAGTGAGATGATCCTGCCATGTACCGACAAAACTGTTCCACTTTGGTCCACCCAAGCTAGCTTGATTTAATATAGCATTTGGGGCTTAGGTCAATACATTTCCAAAGAAAGCTGTGGGACACTTTCTTCACTTCTAATACGTAAAACCTTTTTAGATGCTATTGAATATGTATTTATTTCATAGCATCTTCAGGATACCATGAGATGTCTACTTTTATTTACAACAATAAATTATAGCAATAATGACAAGAAAAAGTGGACTCACGTCTACAGGAAAGTGGTTGAGGTCATTAAATGATAAATTAAGGTATATCAATTGAAAAGCCACAGGTGTTAAGTCTGGACAATGCAGAAGAAAGAATCCCTAAAGGAGAGTAACAAAAACTAACATATTAATTATTAACAGTAAATTCTATGTTGAGCAGTTTGATTTTCTAATACTAATACTACAGGATGCACTGTCAAAACTTTTCTGATCTATGACGAGGAAAATGACAACTCTATGTAGTCTTAAATCATACTGTTCTTTGCGTGAATGCATGATGGACATGTGTGTATGTGTGTGAGTATAGACACATGGGGCAGTTAAAGGAGAGCCTTGGGTATCAATCTTTGCTTTCCTCCTCAAGACATGGTCTATTTGTCCCACCTTGCACACAGAAGGCTAACTGGCCATGAGCTTCTGAGGATTCCCTCACTTCTTCCCAGAACCACATGGTACATACTCACCCTACCATGCTCAGCATTATGAGGGTGATAGGAATTCAAACTCAGGTCCCTAGGCTTGAATGTGAGTGCTTTATCCACTAAGCTGTCTCCTCAGCCTGCATTATTTTTATTTTATGAGACAACGTGCACGTTTTCATTGTTCTGTGGGCAATCTGTTTCCATGAACTTCTTCCCTAGTCTCCTTTTCTGATGCATAGAAACACAGTCTATGTTTGCATGTTGACCTTATTGACTGTAGTTTTGCTGAACCTATTTGCTAGTTCTATGACCTTTGTAATTCTAAAAACCATAATACCAAATGATGAGATCCTAAAAGACCACATAACAATCTTAAAATGTGTTTAGTGCAAACCAGATTCACACAAGACTTGACACAAGGGCTAAAGCTTCTGGCAATTTAAAGATATGAACAATTTCAACCCTACTTATCAGCCTAAATGATGAAAAAAAATAAAAACAGTATAATTTCTGAGACAAACCTAGACGGGTGTAATTTGCATATGTTCCTGGAGAAATCTCTGTTGTAATTGAGAAGACTCCTTCAATGGAATGGAAACTAAGCTATATTGGGAAACTTAAGATAAAAACAATTGATAACACCAGAGGACATTACCATTAAAGAGATCTAACATACCTTAAGACTAAGTGCGTTCCTTCCATATATTTGGCAGTTTATTATGGCCAGGGTGGTCATTGCCATTATTGTTTCATAGCGTGTTGCTGCAATAGTCTTAAAACCTTCCCCTCGTAAAACATGAGCCTCTGGGTCCACTTTTCTCATAGTTTTAATTAAAACTAAGTAAAACAAATCAAAACATAGAACTTCAGGGTATTATGACTTAGTATGATGATTAAGCAACATGAAAGCTCTCACAAGAATAAGTTTCCAAAAGGATTAGCTATCCAAATCTTCCTAAATCAATTCCTCAGATCCTTCATCAACCCAGTCTGGATTGGTCTGTGTACCACATGGAGGGAGGGGGGGGTCTTGCTTGTTGCAAAACTGTCTTTCCAAAATAAAACTATATGCTTACTGATAGATTCTACCTGGAAATTTAGATTATACCTTTGCCTTTTGGAGCTACATATAAAGATAATTTAAAAAAAAAAATTCTCCACTAAATGCCAGGTGTTGGTGGTGCATGCCTTTAATTCCAGCACTTGGGAGGCAGAGGCAGGCGGATCTCTATTAATTTGAAGCCAATCTGGTCTACAGAGCTAGTTCCAGGACAGGCTCCAAAGCAATACAGAGAACACTGTCTAGAAAAACAAACAAAACAAAACAAAAAATTCTACACTATAAATTAAAATAACAACCCTTTGGTTGACAAAATTAATAATGGGTATCGTAAAAGCATAGCTTAGATGTAACTTCCCTAGAGACATCTTATGTGGATCCAATGCCCTATAGAAGTTAATTATTTCCTCTGTGTATAGACTCCATATGGAGAAGGAAAGGAAATACGAAGTCACCTAGCAGTTAGCCAAGTAGAGACCAACTGCATTTAAATTTAGTTTCATGTTCCTTAGGGGTATTAACTTGCATCAGATAAGGTTTATGCAAGAATAAAGCAAACTGCAGTTAGAAAATATGTTGAAATTCTATGCCATACAGTTTAATCCCACAATCATTTTTGCTATATTACTTGCAGAAGCACTTTTTTTTGGAGGTTCTGTAGACCAGGCTGGCTTTGAACCCAGAGACCTGCTTGTCTCTACCTCCCAAGTACTGGAATTAAAAGTATGTGCCTGATAGGCTCAGCTCTATCAGAAACACATTTCCCAGGATCCACAGTTGCTTTTGTAAGAAAGAAAGCCTCCCAGAAGAATGACAACAAAAATGTTCAGTTTTACATTTCTAAGCCAGGGTACTCACTCTGAATCCATCAAAGTCAAGTCTTTAAAACAAAACAAAAACAAACAAACAAACAAACAAACAAAAACCTTGACAAACATGTACAATGCAATGCAGTGAAATCTGGTCACTGGAGGAGGGACAGAGTCAAGATACAGGACTGCAGCTTGCTCCCTGCTCACCAACCCTACTAACCCATAAGCTTCTCTAGGTTTGGGGAATGGGGCCACCTGAGTCATGCCAGCAAGGGTTACTTTCCAGTGCCTTCCATAGCTCATTTATGCATCTTTTCATAGATTTAACTGTAGAAGTTACTCGATAACAGACAGGACCAGAACTCTTTACTTAAAAACTGCCGGGAAATTCTAATACTGTTTCTGCTACTTTTGTTTTTGCATGCTTGATAATGATAAATTATCTGGCATATACCATGTCTATCACATTGTAGGTAGACATAAATGTGAGGTCCAAAATAGGGTAATATTTTAGACATTATTATAGCCTGGCACAGAACACACTATGTAGCCCACGCTGGCACTGAAATTTCAAACTTCCTGCTTCCACCTATTAAGTGATGAGATGAGGGGTTTCTGCCACCACCTCTGGCAGTAGAATAATGCAATCTTTCCCTAAAATGGGTTTCTTTGTTTTTTTGCTAGATGACTAAAATCCAGGTACTCAGAATGGTGTCTGGTAGGTGGTGAGAATTGATTCTCCTAACTGCACATCTACCAGCCCTACCTTGACTAAGAACGCACTAGGGTCTATATTCCCAACATCAGTACGTCTGGTGCATCGTCCAGATGTAAGAAGTAACTGCCGAATTATTGATCCAGGGAACTGGAAACCAGGTAGGGCAGATGTGTGGGCATTACACACGTACACAAACACTTGTATCCAGAGAAAATAATCTTACAATTTCTAAGAGAATGGTATGAACACAGCATTTACCATCAGATGGTTTGGGCGTTTCCAACTTTCCACTTTCTACAGCATTTTCTAGATTAAAAAGAAAAGCAAAGGACAAGTTTTATATACCTTTGAGGGTGATTTCATAATTATTCACCACTTAATGGACTGGGATGCACCCACCGGCACTTCCTGTAGGAGCTCAGGAATCATCTAGGCTGCCCTCTAAATTGCTGCTTATTTACACTAGATGACTTCAGGCCCCACCTAATGCACTATGGGCACCTTCCCACCAACCTTTCTACATTTTCAGAGTTTCCTGATGAGCTCTCAACAATGTTATACAGTAGCCAGGTTGGCACTGGTAGGTACCTCTATAAGATTAGGTTGTATGTTGCTGCTCCCAAGCTGAGGAATTAATGTCAATTTAAAAGGTGGTTCCTTCTTAATACTCTGGAAACCCAGAGGGGAGGAGCCATCCACCTCCTTGAATTTCTTCCCTTCCCTTTGTTCTGACTGACCCCACTATGACAGACCATGTTTCAATTTTATTTACCGATTGCAATCTGTCTTGGAGGTTTTCTTGGTAAAACAGGCATTGGCAGAGTATGAGTTGCCGGCAGAGTAGCAATGTTCAGTGTCACTTTATTTAGGGGGAGGCTGGGACGTGGTGGTCGTTCAGACCACTGTGGCTCTGGTATTATAGATAAAGTACTGGGTATCGGGCTGAGTGGTGCTTCGCCTACATCTCTCAAAAGAGGAAGTTCCTGAGTATAGTCTGGAGTCTTTGGTACACGGCGAGACTCAGCACTTGGTGTCTTAAATCTAGAAGTTATCAGCCTAGAGTAAGAAGGGGGTAAAGGTTTCACAAACTGGTTGGAGAGAATTAAAATGTTGCAAAATGGCTTATTCATGAAAAATGTATCTCTTTTGTGTTTCTTTTTCTTGAACCTTCTGGCTCTTCTAATTTGGCGTAGTTTTTTCCTAAAAACTCGAGAAGATGCAGACAGACAACTTGGAATAAACATGGAACCAGCAGCACTATGAGGAATCTTCCAGTGGATGATGGGTTGAGATCTGCGCCCGCGTGGTGGTAAAATGTTAACCACTCTTTCACGTGTCTTGTGGGCATGATCCAAAGAGATGCTTTGAATACTGATAGGCCTTTGTGACTGAGCAACATCTTCCTCGTTTTTTACTGATACCCTTTCATCCCCAGATAATCGTATATGGGACTGCTCAAGTTCTTTAGCAGTAGCTAAACAAGAAAAGGGGAGAGGGTAAAATTAGCCTCTATGTATCAGACTGTCCACACAAAGCTGCTAAAACCTGAGAATTTGTTTACCATATTGCACTGGCACTTCACTCACCCTTAGGAAACAGACCTGTTTGGCTATGGAGACTTCCATCAGGCTGACAGGAATACACATTGAGCAAACAAATGTAAAGTAAAACAGCCAAAGGACTTAACAAAGGATGGAGAGCAACTCTGGGAGAAACACAAGACGTGCGGAAAGGTATAAGACATAAAGAGAGATTTGGGGCGGTTGTCACTAAAACTCTGGTAATATAAATGGAGAAAGTGATTTTCAAAGGAATGGCTTTCATCATTAGCTTTCCTTATCTGGAATTTTTCTCTCCCTTCCTTCCATCCTTCCTTCTTTCTTTCCTTCCTTCCTCCCTTCCTTTCCTTCTTCCTTTTTTTTTTTTTTTTTTTTTTTTAAGTAAAGACCACTTTTTTTTTCTTATCGATCCCAATTCCCTCTCCCTCCCATCCTCCTATGCCCCCCATCCCATCCCCCATCCACTCCCCAGGGAGGGTGAGGCCTTCCAGAAGGGATCATCAAAATCTGTCAAGTCATTTGGAGTAGGGACTAGATCCTCCCTCCTGCCTCTAGGCTAAGGAAGTATCCCTCCATGGGGAATGTGCTCCCAAAGTCCTTTTGTGCACCAGGGATACATCCTGGTTCCACTGACAGAGGTCCCATAGACTTCCTAGGCCTCCTAACTGAGACCCACTTTCAGGGGGTCTGGGTAAGTCCCATGGTTTCCCAGCTATCAATCTGGGGTTCATGACCTCCCTCTTGTTCAGGTCAGCCGTCTCTGAACCATTATTTTTAAATGCCAAATGAAAATATAAAAGCAGTCTTCCAGACATAGGGACAAGATATTGACTAGAAGATGTTGAATGCTTATCTCTCCACTATGAGCTCTTCTCTCTTTGGTCCAGAAACCCATGGACCCTGACTTCTTGGGTATCTCACTCTATCAGATACACCTCTGCTTTCCTATGGGACAGAATGTCACATGTCACTTTTCTGTGTCTTAACTGATGTAATGGATGGTGATGAACATTACATTCCATTAAGGAGGGAATAGATTCATTGTGGCAGAACTGTAGGAAACTACAAAAGTTCTCTGTCTGGCATCTCAACTACCTGTTCTCTGCATGTGAACGTGTCTGGGTTCAGAGAGAGGGATTGCCATCTTATTCCCTTAATCTCCCTCTCCTTTTGGTGGCTGGAGAGGGACATGAAATTTCCCTTTTTAGACCACCTGATGTGGGACTTGTAGAGGATTCCTGGAAGTGTCTGCTGCAGGGGACTCTGGTATCTCTCTAACTAACCTCTAAGGACCTCCTGGGCTGATAGAGAACAGCAAAAAAGTACCAACACCTTTAACTGTATCACTTCACTGTGATCTTAGCTTTTCCAGTACTTCCTTCTGCTCTCAAAACCCACATGGTCTCCTCTTTTATCCTACTTCTAGTCAAGGTCTGGTCCAAGTTTTGTTCCTACCCCAACATCTTCTCATCTGCTAATTATGTCGGTTTGCACCCAGACACACAATGCATCCAATGCTACTTGACTTGTTGCTTCACGTTTCCATTTCCTGTGAAGCTCATTGGTGGCTAATTGAAAGGTGATGAAAAGCAGAAACAAGATCAAGAATTCTGTACAATGAACACCATGTTCCAATTCTGTCTATTTAAAGGTTTTTGTTCAGTGTTTTAATGTTTGTTTTATCAATTAGACTCGAGCCACTATATTTGTGTATTCATTGAGCAAATATCTCAAATACCCATTATTAGTTAAGGTCATAGACTCTCCAAGATGCCAAAAGCAAATAACCTTTGTAGTGCCAAGGTTGAGAAATTCTGTGACTAGAATATGGCAATGAACCAAAGGGGAAACAGAAAATCTCCAACACAGAAACTGGTAACGCACTATCAGTCTGTATGACAGTGGGTGCTATTTAAAGAATAGGCTGTAAATGTAGAAACACAAGACAATACAGAAACAGGGAAAGGATGATATGGAAATGAGGCAATGATGGTTGTGTGAGATTTGGATATTTTGCTTTTCACATCTTTAACATGCCTAGATCAAAAATATAACAAATTTAACATTATAAATAAACCTCACAATATAAATGTTGGCATCAAAATAATACAGTCAATAGAGTCAAGTGGTAGAGGAGATTCAGGAGGTGAAAAAATATTATTGCTTCAGAAAATACAATAGTTAGTAGAGAAACATACAGGAATACAGGAGTAATAGTGTTATATAAAGTTACATCATAAAAGTGACTTATCTTTAATCTTTTCAAAAAATATGTGTGAGGGTTTTGCCAACATGATATGCATGCCTATTGCCTGCCAAGACCAGAAGAGAACACAGGAACTGTGTGAGCCACCATGTGGTGGTGGGAACAGAACACAGGAAGAGCAGTGTTCTTAACCACTGAGCCACCTGTCCAGCCCCCATACTGGCTCATCTTTATGGTACATAGCACAGGGTAAGCTTACTCACGATTTTTTCTCTCTCTCCTAGCTGACAGAAAGTAACAGAAGATGAGCAGGGTCTGGCTTTATTAACTGTTTTTATCACCACTTCCTAGCACTGTGCTTAATAAATAAAGCCAATCTTCATTATCTGTGAACTCTTAACAAATGCTCACTCACCCTACATGGATATAGGATAGGTTCCTTTAAGCCTCTGCTCTCGGCATTTTCATCAACCAATAAACACATGACTTTGTGATTATATGTTCTGCTTTTAGGGACATATAATTTATGTCACATTAAATCTTTATTAAAACATAGAACAGCCAAGGACACTCAGACATCAAGGAAATTCATCTGACTTGTGTTCTCTGCTAAGCCCATCACAGCCTTCTTTAGCTTAGACTGCGGTTCAACACTACACTTACAGAAATTATTGGGAGGGGGCACAAAAATTCAAGAGACATGGAATTAAACAGACCAGGAGAGGAGCACTTGTTAATATCATGGGTGGGACTGAAACAGGAAGACAGAAGTAGCCGTGTCCCATCCTGGATGCATGTACGTTGGAACACTTGTAGTTTCATTTACCTAAACACACATTCCCACGAATATCCATAAAAGAGCTATCGATATGAAGATTTCAAATAAATTTTATCCAAAACTAAATTCACACTTGACAAATCCACAAATGAGGATCCATCACTGAGCATACCTATAGAGTTGATCAATTGGTTGCCGTTGCCATACCATAATTACATAGGAATTATATAGAGCAAGGGATTTCTATGAAAAAAGCACATGAAGTTTAATACGCATATCCATACATACCTGTTCGAACTTTCTTCTTAGATAAGGGCAACTTAGGGAGCTTTGGAGGCAAGGGTCTTCGAAGAAGTAGGGGGTGCTGCAGTGTTTTTAATGAATGACAATCGCTCCTCTTCATGACTGCTGGTTAAGCGAGAACTGGCATTTCTGGGAATGAGTTGTTACTGAAAGGCAGTGTTTGTCACTTAGAAAATATCCGGACAGAAACCATCCTGTGCTGGCACTATACTGAGTTCAAGCAAGAAAAAGGGAGGAAGAAGGTAATCACTCAAAACTTGCTTTTTGAAGCACTGTTGGTTTTTAAAAAGTTACATATACTTTAATACAGGCTTAAACATGAGGTATAAGGGGGGGGGGTCAGGACATCCAGTGCTTTCTTTCTGTACTGGATGACTATGGTCTCATGCTAGGCAAGGCCTCTACCACTAAGCCCTGCTCTCAAACTTATTTAAAATCTCAGATTAATGAGCAGGAAGTTGGAGGATACACTTGTAAGCTCAACACTTGAAAGGCTAAGACAGAAGGAAGAGCCTGGGCTACATGGGGAGGCAGATTTCTTTTAAAAGTTTTGATTAATAATGTAGATAAAACATATACCATTATTAGTCAGGACCATGCTAACATTTCCCGTGTGAGTACAACATTCAATCGGTCACCACATTTTTCGGTCAGGAAATGGTGACTCCCTTTCCCAAATGTAGACGTGACATTTCATTCACTACCTCCCAAATATTAGCAGTATAGATTTAGAAGGAGTTTTAGTCAAAAGAATATGTAAAAGATCCTTCTATTGTAAAAAGCCTCCGATGTTCCACAATATCTAACCACTCACAGACTTTTCATGTATGACAATGACTTGTTTTAACTTTTAGCCGACATAATTTGCCCATAATTATACAACCCAAAAGTAAGGCTTTAATACAATGAAATGCTCCTTAAAGGCGTGGGGGGCAGTTTATACTGAAATAACGACACCAGATGCATCCCCCTCTCCCAAATGCGTCTTTGTTTGCAAGGCAACCTCAAAAAGTGCCTGGCACCAGCTGCCCCACAGCCCGCCTGGCAGGGGAACCTTGGAGTTGTGCAGAGGAGCGGTTTACCCGCGAAAAGTAACTGCAGGCCAGAGCTCGCTCCAGGTCTGTGGACTGGCAGCGCGCGCTAGCCGCAAGTTTCCTTAGCTAATTGTGAAGAGACCCCCCCCCCCACTTCCCCACCCGCCGCCTCCCCGAAAAGGCGGGCTCCTAAGCGACCCTGTCTCCAAGCAAACAAACACACCACCGTTCCTACATTCATCTCCTTTGCCCCGAGTTCTGGGTGCCAGTTACCGTCTAGCGAGTCTCCAGTTAGGTCTCCAGGTTTCAGCTGGATGCTGCGCCGTTAGCAGCATCCCAAGCGCTAGCACAGCCTGGTCCAAGGCGCATAGCTCTGCCACCAACCAGGAGCCAGCTCTAGGCGGGTGGGAAGCGCAGGCGCACGAGGCCTAGGCGCGCCAGGGGTGAGGGGCGGGGCCCAGGCGACCCCGCCCACAGACCCCGCCCACGGTGTCCACCCACTGACGCCGCAGGCCCAGGGCCAGTGCCCCCTATTTCTGCAGGATGACTGGAGGCTGAGGTGGTGGAGCTGGACGAGCGGTTCCACGTGCAAGCTGCTGTACGGAAGGCTGTGGTGACAATTGTAATTACTATTCTTACTCTTAAAAACAGTGGCCACTATTATTTACTTACTTTTCTCCATGACATGAAACGGGTGTCTGGAGTCTGGACCGGCATTTTCTAATAAAGCTGCACTTGTGGGCAACTGGCCACTATGGCTCATTTTGCAGTAAAGCCCTTATCTCCAAAGCGCTCATTCTGTTTCCTTCTTGTCTTTTGAGTGCAACCTGTTTCGTCTTTCTGGGTCTTTAAAGTTCCTGGAGGAAGTCTAACACTGTGTGGGAATGTTTTAAAGGATATCCAGGTCTCACTGTTACAGTGGTTGGCTGCGATTGCTGTCTCTGTCGTGATGACAGTGAGTCTGCATGGTCGGTGGTAGATGTAGGGTGTGTGTTTGCCTGTGTGTGCATGCTTCTCTGGAGATCTGAGAACGGAAACTGAGAGAAGAACCTGTTATAGAGATGGGGAAATCCAACTCCCTTATATGTTTCTCTTCTTAAGTAAGGGTGTGGGAATTTTAATAGCACTCTGGGAAATCAGAGACTTCCAGATTAGTTTACTAACCAACTCTTTCCCCTTTTCTCCTTAGGAGTGAGTGTATATTTTGAAACAATGGGAAAAATAATGATATAAAAATAATGATATAAAAAAGAGTCTGGATAATACTGTACACATTGTTGTCCCATGTTAGCATGTGGTTTTGTCATATAGGTTATTTGGTTCCAAATGAGGCACCCTCCCCAAACCATGGGTGTATTCCACTGTGTCGTGTACATTATGCATAGTTTGTAAACTTCAGAAATGTTTCTGTTCATAAGGATAAAGATGCGTGGGCCAATCTCTGAAGCCAGTTCTGTCTTCTTAAAAGCGAAGACCTGCTGGGATTCAGTTTCTATGACTGATGCTTTTAAAATGTATGTTTATTTTTGCATTTATGAAAAACCAAGGTAAGTGCATTTTGTTAATTAAAAAATGCTTTGTCATTCCTTGCAAGTTTCTTCTGGCAACTACCAGGCAGGAACCTAGGGCAGTTAAATATGTAACCTCTGCAATTGTAAATATATTATCTTTGCAACTATTACTATCACTTAGCTCCAACCTCTTAGGGAAATGAGATAGTAATAAAAGTTAAATCCCTGGTTTGATATGTCTTCTATGCTTATGTCAGCTATACTACCACAGCTTACATGTTTTCTGGTGGGAGGGGGGTGATAGATTTTTGAAAGCCCATATTTTATTCAGTTTGGATTACTTTAGCACTTCTTGTGTTTAATTTGTTATGTTTGAAAGTATAGCCACCTCATTCACTCACTTTAAAAAAATAGTACTGTTTTGTCTCTTGGAAATGAGGCTGCTCCCTCCTTGGGTCTAAGGCTCTACTTCACCTGATGTACAGTTCTGTTGGCTGGTTTGCTTGTCCCCTCAGCTTTGCCATTTGTCTGAACCTCTGCTTGTCAGAACAAACTGTAGTGATTTTGCTCTGTCAGTGGGTTGTGTAAAGGTGACTAAGTTCGTGGTGAGCACCAAGGTTATAGGCACTCTACATCATTTTTTTTAACGTTGCTAAAATGAGCTAAAAGTTTTGCACAGTAGGAGAGACTTGAGGACCCCATAAATAATGATATTGATTGTCCTAAGGTTAGAGCATGCTCAGAGAACCTCAGATTGGCCACTAGTGAAAGGATGCGCTGTCGGATAGTGTAATATGTGTTTTAGAGTTCTTCATTATTTTCCTTAGATCTGTCTTGATGGATTGATTGACTGATTGATTTTCCTTTCAAACAGGACAGACATTTGCTAAACAGTTTGGCTGCTATAGATCTCAGCTAACATTTTAGCAATAACTGGAGATACTTGTGTTCCTTTGCTTGGGTTAATTTTAAAGGTCCCTTTAGAGAAGGAATAGTTATTCTCGAGTGCATATTGAGTCTGCATTGAGTCCTAAGGGCACTGAAATGCTTTTTAAAAAAGAGATGTTTTTCTTGACCTGAGTTTACAACTGTTGGTGTTAGACGTTCATACTGAGAATGATTTTCGTTTCTGCCGGTCACCACTGTGTGGCTTTAAAGACATATGTTTATGACAAAGTCTTCATGCTCTACTGGCGAATGGGTTCATGTTTTCTCAGACGCAAATAAAACCTTGCGGGAGAAGCAGTTGTTGCCCTTACCGCTTGCCTCAGTTCAAAGACCAGAGCCTCACCTCTGCTTTGCATTCTGTGGGGCCAGTTGTTTCCTTTTCTGTCTCAAGATGGACGGGACTTCCTTTCCTTTGTTTGAGTTAGAGATCCTGGGATTCAAACCAAAGGAAAACACTGCCAACAAGGAAATGTCATGGGATCGACATTGTATAGTTAAGAAACAGTTCATGTGTATGAAAGAACAGTGCCTATCTGTCCTTGACATTGTGTTTATGAATTCAGCCATTTGTTCTGGAATGATCCACCAGACGCCCACTCTGCACAAGTCACCTTGCTACTCACTAATCCTTAATTAAATATTACTCTGAGACTTTACAATTTGAACGACATAAGTGAAATTTTAGATTATTCCCAAAGCTCTACTTATCTGTAACTACTTGAACTTTTCTTTCTTTCTCTCTCTCTTCTCCAGATTGGTGCCATGTTGCTTGCATAGAGTAGTGTTACTTGTTCAGACTTTCCCAAATCCCAGGAAGAATTTGTGTTTCCTGGCTGCTGGTCATTTTTTGTTGTAGACTAACAAATAGTCTGCAACTACGTAATACCTGCAACTGTTTTTGCACCAGACAAAGTTCTTTCCTTTCTTTATGCTGACTGTGCTCACTGTCTGTCCTGCACGCTCTGGGCTATGGCTTGTCTTGGCCTTAAGTGTGAACCAGACTCGTTATTATTACATGGAAGGCCCTGCTCCACTGGTTTGCTGTTTTATCTTTCTCTGCATTACCTCCTGGTTGGAATTCTAGTGTGTATATCACAGCCAGTCAAAGGCAGTATAGCATAGGTCTGCTTGGTTGGGTTTGAATCCTCCTGTTGCCATTTGTTAGCTTGTTTTTCAGGCCCATTGTCCAGAGCCTGTCCTGCAGTTTCTTCATCTGCAAAACTGGGAGACGTTTGAGAAACATCTGTAATGTGCACGGGCTTCATTGCTTCCGCCCAGAAAGCACCTGTGTGTGGCATTGGGAAATGCTCTGTAATGACTCCATTATAGTGTCAATGGTAGCTCGCCCTCTTTGCTTCTCAACTCTATCATTCCATGTCATTTTCGCTGTCTGGACTGGGCATATGTTTTATTTGTAAGTGAATGAAGACTGCAGGCAGTACAAAGAGTGTGATAATGATGGAGGTGGGCAGAGGTCATGCGGACATCCAGGGCCATGTGGTATTTTGTGCTGAGGACCTTCGGGTCTTTTGCCTCAGCTGGACAACTGCAGCTGTAGCCTCTTTCTCATTACCATGAAGTTGACAGTGACATCACAGTTCTGCTGGATTACGACTACTCTAATGTACTCAGGTCAGAACATTTTTTCTATCACATTTGACAGTAATGAGTGTTCTAGACACTGCTTCTCCGCCTACCTCATGTGACAACCTTCCTTGCTGATACAAGAAGGCTCTTTCTTTTCCCTTGCCAAACATCTCAGGTGAGGTAATTCCTAGCAAAGGAAGAGACATGGTATCCAGGAGCCTGGAGAAAAGAGATGGGGTTTTTTTTTCTTCCCTCCCCTGCATGTCCAAGCAAAGCAGCTTCACCCCTCTGTGTTTAACACCCAGAGTAGACTCTACGGCTATAGAGGGTTGCTTACAACCCATCAAACTATGTTATCTGTGCCTTGAGACTTAGTCTGTGCCCCTAGTTTATACTGGAGTCATGGAAAACTTGCCTGGCCATTGCTGCAGGGCTACCTCCCTCTGGTACATTCCAGAACTCTACCCACACCATTGCTTTTCAGCTCATCCAGAATCAGATCCTAATAGAATAGCTGTGATACACTACTACTCTCCACAGGGG